TCTTCTTTTCAAGTGTAGGACATTCACTTTTAACATGTCCCTTTTCTCCACATTCAAAGCATATAACCTTCCTTGTTGGTACTTCCCTTTTTCTTTCTTTTCGTAGAACCTTTTCAATCTTCTTGATAAGATCATCATCTTCACTACTAGTGGATTCATCCTCTTGATTACTATCATGATTTTTTATCCTTGTATTTAGAGCCATGTCTTTTGAATATTTTACTTGGATTTCATGCTTTTCAAGTCTTTCAAGTTTTGTCTCATATTCTTGAAGTTTTCCGAACAAAGTGGCGGAAGTCATTGTAGATAGATTCTTCTTCTCGGATATTGCTGTCACTTTTGGTCGCCATTCCCTGGATAAAGATCTAAGCACTTTAAGATTAAGTTCATCATTAGTTAAAGTCTTACAGAGTGCTTTCAAATGATTTGTCAAGTGTACAAATCTTTTCTGCAAGTCGATGATTGATTCTCGGGGCTGCTTTCTGAATAGTTCGTATTCTTGACTCAATGTATTTAATCTCGATCTTTTAACTTCAATGGTTCCTTCATGAGTTTCTACCAAGGTATCCCATATTTATTTCGCTGTTTTGCATGCTGATACACGGAAGAATTCATCCATGTTAAGTGCACCTTGGAGAATATTTATTGCCTTTTTATCATAGAGAACCTTCTTCATATCATCTTTGTCCCATGCAACTTTAGGCTTTGATGAGCCAACACTATTGATTACCGTTATAGGGATAAATAGACCATTCTCGACGGCATTCCATATTTCTTCTCCTTGTGCTTCTAGATGTGCCTTTATGCGTATTTTCCAGAAGTCAAAATATTCACCACAGAATAGAGGAGGCTTGTTGTTACTACCACAATCTCTGAAAACGGGATTTTGATTTGCGGAAGCCATTCTGGATCTTTTAGGAGCAGGTTACCTATAACCTGTCCTGATACCAATTGTAAGTATAAGAGTGCGCCTAAGAGGGGGATGAATTAGGTAGTTTAAATTTTTTACCGTTTTAGTGATGATGGTATTATTTTTCTGGTTTAGTGCATGAGTTTACAAATGTGTTTCTTTCTTTTCTGGTTTATGACTAGTGATGAAAGCGGTAAATGCGGAAAAGTAAAGAACACGAAGATGTATCCTGGTTCCCCTCACAGTCTGAGAGTACTCTAGTCCCATTTCAACATGAAATAGATTTCCTTATTTTTAGATCTCTAGACAAGACACCCTAGTCCTTCTATACAAGACTCTAACCAATAAAACCACCAAGAACAATCCTCTTGGACTAACAACAATCCTCTTGGATTTTCACTATGTCAACAATGAGAACAATCCTCTCAAGGTGACCTTACTTGTATCCAACAATCCTGGAAAAACAAGATTTCAAATTCACTTGAACTTATTTTCAACAATCCTGAAAAATAAGCAAGTATATAGCAATATTTGATTTGAGTGAGTTTGTAGTGTAATAATCACTTTGAGTTATTTAATCAATGAATTGGTCTTCTCTTCCAATGATAATAGTATAAAATGACTTAAGATATATAATGCTCAAAGTTTTCTGGTTAACAATATGTGAAAGTGTGCAGAAAACTTGTTTATGAAAATGTATACCAGCTTGAGTTGGTTTTTTGAAAACTCAGAAAATATAATTAGAAGAGGTGTTGAAATGATTTTGTAAATGAGTATTTATATGTTCATGGCACCTCTTTGAAACAACATAAAATTATGTAAATGAATCATGAACAGTTTCCAAGATTGAGTGAAAGGTTTCCATGAAATGGTGTTATGAACAGGCATGTGCAAAGCTGCTGTTTTTAAAAATCGTGCAGCCTGCAATCGATTGCATCCTTTGTGTAAATCGATTACACAGGGTTTCAACAGCTAGAATTTCAAATATTTTGAGTGTGCAATCGATTGCACAAGAGTGTAAATTGGTTGCATGTGAAGTCAGTAGCAAAAATTGATTGAGTGTAATCGATTGCACAAACATGCAAATCGATTGCACTGAGAAATAGTAGCAAATATTTTGAAAAATTAAAGCATGCAATCGATTACACTAATATGCAAATCGATTGCACTCCAGTGAAAAATTATTTTTAGCTTAGAAAAACTTGAGTAAAGATTTGGACAATATAAAATATTCCTTTTGACCATTGAGCATCTATGTCTTAAGTTCAAAGTAAGTATTATCATTATACCTTGAAATTTGTTAAGTGCTTGAACTGAAGACTTTATCCATAGATGCTTTTAGCTTGGTCAATAATGTTTTCCTTCTTTGTCCCTCATGATTTGTCTTCATCAAAACAAAAGTGCATTTGAGAAGATTTATTTTACAATCAATTCCATCACTGTAAAAACATAAGCACAACTTTTTGCATAAATATATTATAGATTTTTATCTCAAACAACTTTTTACATAAACCTTTTTATAGATTTATATCTGAAACACAACAACAGTTCTTCACAATTATTTCAAACTAAATTCGATCCGTACAAAATTTTGTGCACAAGTTTACGAACTTGACAATCTTCATTAAATCAACGCAATTTTAAAACCTCTAATAGAAGGAAGAACATTAAAAGAAAAGAAGAAACACAAATAAAAAATAACTCCATCGCTACCCAAAAACCTCCCACGAAATCACGGCGATCTTAGCCACACACCACAACGGATAACACATCACCAAGACTTCCCAGCCACCCTCAACCAACGAAGCACTTCATGTGGCGTCCTTCCCTCTGTTTCGTCAGCCGCACGCGTGAGATCTACCATACTCTACCCTTTCTCCGTGAACATATACTAGTAAGTGGTAATTGTTATCTATTTTGTTTTAATTAATTTCAATTCCACATGTCATACTATAAATGGTGGATTGGAAAAGGTTTAAAAAGGTATGAAATATTATTGTCATAATATTAATAAAATAGCTTTGGTTGTTTTTATATTTCTTAAGTTTTGGAATTATTACATGATAATATTTTTTATTTTTTATTTTATTAAATTTCAAATTATATAATAAAAACACTTTATTATAAGTCATTTAAATTACATTTTCTTACCGAAGACAAAGGAATAGAACATAATTATATATAAATCATTTAAGTGAGATAATAAGGGGTCTTATTTGGATAAATTTAAATTCAGTCGTGTGTTTCTTTTGAGGGAGTGATTGGTAAGGAAAAATAAATTGGTTAGGGCTACTAAGAGTTGCAATTACCTTATCTACTCAAATGAATAGAGACATTACAAAATTATACTTTAATACGATAACAAACCAATAAAAAAACATGAGTGTTATTTTGGTAAAAAAAAACATTAAATAACCTTTTTATTCTTTTTATCACATAATTTATTACCATGGGAAACTTCAAGATAGGATATGTTGTTATGGTGCAGATTCATGTGTACAAGTTTATAATAGCCTTGTGTCTTGCCTAAGTTATCTTCAGAACAGTGGTGTTGTTTCACCAAGTTGTTGTTAGAGCATTAAAAAGTTAGTTAATGCGGCTAAAACCATTATTGACTGTCATGCAACTTGTAATTTCTTGAAGTCGACTACTGCTGCTATGAAAGCAATCAATGTGGACTATGTTGCTGCAGCTAAAACCATTGTTAAATTTCGTGCAACTTGTGATTGCTTGAAGTAGGATATTGTAGCTATCAAAGGAATCAAGGGGGACTATGTTGTTGCACTCCCTTAAAATGGAGGAACTAGTATCCCTTACAAGATCAGTTCTTCCATCAATTGTGCTAGCTATACATCCATTATCTAAATATTAATTCTAAATTAAAAATAATTTAATTCTTATAAAAAGGGAACAACCTATTTTTTTAAATTCGTATATTAATTTTTTAAATAAATAGAAATTATTAAAATGTGTTATTTTTTAAGAGGTTTATATTTTAAAACCTCACAAATAAAGTTTAACGATGGATCCATATTATTCAGGTTTAATTTTATTTTGGTGTATAATTAAAATAAAATATTTTATGTTAAATTATCAAAAATATTAATCACTTCTCATATTCAAATTAATCATGCCACATATTAATTGAAGTAGCAATAGGAGTTTTATACTATTTGAGTAAAAGTTATGATGTATTTATTTGCACAAAGCTAAACTATTTTATATTTAGATTTTTAAAATAAACAAAGTACTTAGATAGAGAAAAACAAACTGTACTAAATTTGATCAATAATATGGAATAGACAAAAAGTGGTTGCATGCATGAGAAAATTATATACTTTTATATGTGATTTCAAATGAAGACAAATAAAAAATCTATTTATAATGTTTATACATTGAATGTTGTGATGACATTTTAGTATATAAAAAATAAAAGTATTTCTTCTTATTATATTATATATTTTTTTGTAGTATCAAGTGATGTGAAATGTTATGAATGTTGAATCTTCAACAAAAATAATGTATGATATTGCTATATGCTAGTGTGAAAGAGAATAAAGAAAGAGGATAGTTCTAGCATTTATGATAGAGCAAGTTTTCTCTTATATTTAACACATTTACTATGTTTTTACATATCTATTATATACGTGCGCCTTTGTTTATTCTGTATACTCTAATGTGATGTGTTAAAAATATTAATAAAAAGTTCAACCAGATTCATTATTCCATTTCAACTTGCATTGAACTCTATGTCCTAAAATATAAATATTATATTATAAAAATCTGTATTAAATAATGTAAATGTTTTCATAATAATAGTGATTTAACGTAAGAATAGAACAATATACTCGGTACCGCTTATTTAAAAAGAGCAGTTTCGAAGTGTCTATTTAAAAATTGTCTAGCGGTTCTCTCTTACATCATAACTAATGACTAAACATAAAGCTCATATCCCAAATCAAACATTAACCACAACCAAAATCAAAAACAATAAAAATACTTTTCAAAAATCACTATATAAAAGCCCTACCACCTTGCATAAAACTCACACCTAACATTCGCTATATCCAATATCACTTAATTTCTTACCATGGGAAACTTCAAGATAGCGTATGTTGTTATTGTGCAGATTCATGTGTATAAGTTTACAATAGCCTTGCGCCTTGCCTACATTATCTTCAGAACAATGGTGTTGTTTCGCCAAGATGTTGTTAGGGTGTTAAAGGGTTAGTTAATGCAGCTAAAACCATTGTTGAATTCCGTGCAACTTATGATTGCTTGAAGTCGACTATTGCTGCTATCAAAGGAATCAATGGGGACTATGCTACTGCACTGGCTTAAAAATGTGGGACTAGTATCGCTTACAAGATCAGTTCTTCCATCAATTGTGCAAGCTATACATGCATTATATAAATATTAATTCTAAATGAAAAATAATTTAATTCTTATAAAAAGGGATCCAATTATTTTTTTAAATTCGTAAAGAAAATATTTAAATAAATAGAAATTATTGAAATGGGTTATTTTTTAAAAGGTTTATATTATAAAACCTCACAAATAAAGTTATAAGATGGATCCATATTATTCTGGAATAATTTTATTTTGGTGTATAATTAAAATAAAATATTTTATGTTAAATTATCAAATATATTAATCACTCCTCATATCCAAATTAATTATGCCACATATTAATTAAAGTAACAATAGGAGTTTTATACTATTTGAGTAAAAGTTTTGATGTATTTATTTGCACAAAGCTAAATTATTTTATATTTAGATTTTTAAAATAAACAAAGTACTTAGATAGAGAAAAACAAAATGTACTAAATTTGATCAATAATATGGAATAGACAAAAAGTGGTTGCATGCATGAGAAAATTATTTACTTTTATATGTGATTTCAAATGAAGACAAATAAAAATATCTATTTATAATGTTTATATATTGAATGTTGTGATGACATTTTAGTATATAAAAAATAACAGTATTTCTTCTTATTATATATATATTTTTTTGTAGTATCAAGTGATGTGAAATGTTATGAATGTTGAATCTTCAACAAAAATAATGTATAATATTGCTATATGCTAGTGTGAAAGAGAATAAAGAAAGAGGATAGTTCTAGCATTTATGATAGAGCAAGTTTTCTCTTATATTTAACACATTTACTATGTTTTTACATATCTATTATATATGTGCGCCTTTGTTTATTCTGTATACTCTAACGTGATGTGTTAAAAATATTAATAAAAAGTTCAACCAGATTCATTATTCCATTTCAATTTGCATTGATCTCTATGTCCTAAAATATAAATATTATATTATAAAAATCTGTATTAAATAATATAAATGTTTTCATAATAATAGTGATTTAACATAAGAATAGAACAATATACTCGGTACCGCTTATTTAAAAATAGCAGTTTCAAAGTGTCTATTTAAAAATTGTCTAGCGGTTCTCCCTTACATCATAACTAATGACTAAACATAAAGCTCATATCCCAAATCAAACATTAACCACAACCAAAATCAAAAACCATATTTTCCCTTACATCATAACTAATGACTAAAAGCTCATATCCCAAATCAAACATTAACCACAACCAAAATCAAAAACCATAAAAATACTTTTCAAAAATCACTATATAAAAGCCCTACCACCTTGCATAAAACTCACACCTAACATTCGCTATATCCAATATCACTTAATTTCTTACCATGAGAAACTTCAAGATAGCGTATGTTGTTATTGTGCAGATTCATGTGTATAAGTTTACAATAGCCTTGCGCCTTGCCTACATTATCTTCAGAACAGTGGTGTTGTTTCGCCAAGATCTTGTTAGGGTGTTAAAGGGTTAGTTAATGCAGCTAAAACCATTGTTGAATTCCGTGCAACTTATGATTGCTTGAAGTCGGCTATTGCTGCTATCAAAGGAATCAATGGGGACTATGCTACTGCACTCGCTTAAAAATGTGGGACTAGTATCCCTTACAAGATCAGTTCTTCCATCAATTATGCAAGCTATACATGCATTATCTAAATATTAATTCTAAATGAAAAATAATTTAATTCTTATAAAAAGGGATCCAATTATTTTTTTCAATTCTTAAAGAAAATATTTAAATAAATAGAAATTATTGAAATGGGTTATTTTTTAAAAGGTTTATATTATAAAACCTCACAAATAAAGTTATAAGATGGATCCATATTATTCTGGTATAATTTTATTTTGGTGTATAATTAAAATAAAATATTTTATGTTAAATTATCAAAAATATTAATCACTCCTCATATCCAAATTAATTATGCCACATATTAATTAAAGTAACAATAGGAGTTTTATACTATTTGAGTAAAAGTTATGATGTATTTATTTGCACAAAGCTAAATTATTTTATATTTAGATTTTTAAAATAAACAAAGTACTTAGATAGAGAAAAACAAACTGTACTAAATTTGATCAATAATATGGAATAGGCAAAAAGTGGTTGCATGCATGAGAAAATTATTTACTTTTATATGTGATTTCAAATGAAGACAAATAAAAATATCTATTTATAATGTTTATACATTGAATGTTGTGATGACATTTTAGTATATAAAAAATAACAGTATTTCTTCTTATTATATTATATATTTTTTTGTAGTCTCAAGTGATGTGAAATGTTATAAATGCTGAATCTTCAACAAAAATAATATATGGTATTGCTATATGCTAGTATGAAAGAGAATAAAGAAAGGGGATAGTTCTAGCATTTATGATAGAGCAAGTTTTCTCTTATATTTAACACATTTACTATGTTTTTACATATCTATTATATATGTGCGCCTTTGTTTATTCTGTATACTAATGTGACGTGCTTAAAATATTAATAAAAAGTTCAACCAGATTCATTATTCCATTTCAACTTGCATTGAACTCTATGTCCTAATATCTAAACATTATATTATAAAAATCAGTATTAAATGATATAATATTTTTTCAAAATAATAGTGATGTAACATAAGAATAGAACAATATACTCGATACCGCTTATTTAAAAAGAGCAGTTTCGAAGTGTCTATTTAAAAATTGTCTAGCGGTTCTGCCTTACATCATAACTAATGACTAAACATAAAGCTCATATCCCAAATCAAACTTTAACCACAACTAAACTCAAAAAACATAAAAATACTTTTCAAAAATCACTATATAAAACCCCTACCACCTTGCATCAAACTCACACCTAACACTCGCTCTATCCAATATCACTTAATTTCTTACAATGGGAAACTTCAAGATAGCATATGTTGTTATAGTGCAGATTCATGTTTTTAAGTTTACAATAGCCTTGCGCCTTGCCTACATTATCTTCAGAACGATGGTGTTGTTTCTCCAAGTTGTTCTTAGGGCGTTAAAGGGTTAGTTAATGCAGCTAAAACCATTGTTGAATTTCGTGCAACTTGTGATTGCTTGAAGTCAGCTATTGCTGCTATCAAAGAAATCAAGGGGACTATGCTGCTGCACTCCCTTATTAATATGGGACTAGTATCCCTTACAAGATCAGTTCTTCCATCAATTGTGCTAGCTATACATTTATTATATAAATTTTAATTCTAAATGAAAACTAATTTAATTCTTATAAAAAGGGATCCAACTATTTTTTTAAATTCGTAAATTAAATTTTTAAATAAATAGAAATTATTGAAATGTCTAATTTTTTAAGAGGTTTATATTAGAAAACCTCACAAATAAAGTTTAGAGATGGATCCATATTATTCTGGTTTAATTTTATTTTAGTGTATAATTTAACATAAAATATTTTATGTTAAATTATCAAAAATATTAATCACTCTTCATATCCAAATTAATTATACCACATATTAATTGAAGTAACAATAGGAGTTTTATACTATTTGAGTAAAAGTTATGATGTATTTATTTGCACAAAAATAAATTATTTTATATTTATATTTTTAAAATAAACAAAGTACTTAGATAGAGAAAAACAAACAGTACTATATTTGATCAATAATATGGAATAGACAAAAAGTGGTTGCATGCATGAGAAAATTATTTACTTTTATATGTAATTTCGAATGAAGACAAATAAAAATATCTATTTATAATGTTTATACATTTAATGTTGTGATTACATTTTAGTATATAAAAAATAACAGTATTTCTTCTTAATATTTTTTTTTTGTAGTGTCAAGTGATGTGAAATGCTATGAATGTTGAATCTTCAATAAAAATAATATATAGTATTGCTATATGCTAGTGTGAAAGAGAATAAAGAAAGAGGATAGTTCTAGCATTTATGATAGAGCAAGTTTTCTCTTATATTTAACACATTTACTAAGTTTGTTTTCTCTTATATTTAACACATTTACTAAGTTTTTATATATGTGCGTCTTTCTTTATTATGTATACTGATTTGATGTGTTTAAAATATTAATAAAATATGTAGTTTGTTGTTGTTGTTATATAATTAAAAAAAATAGTGATTATGCTTAAATTTAGTTACTCAAAAGAATTATTTAATTTTTATTTTACTCTTGTTCTCATACCTTTAAGAAAATAAAACACAGTAAACCTATTGCATGGGTGAATTTTATTTAAATATACTATTAATTATTGTAGTTTATATAAATAATTTAAAATATTTATGTACAGTTTATTTTAAGATATTTTTTATATTTCTTATGAAAAAATTAGCATATAAAAAAGTATAGAATTATAAAATATGGTGCGTATAAATATTTAAAGTGATAGTTATGAAAAAATATAGAGTAATAATTATCATATTAACATTTTCACATGTATCAAATAAATTGTATCATGCCATAAAATTGCTTAGTTCATAAGTATTTTATGAATTCAACTATATTAAAATTGAATGAGTTTATGAATAATTCATAATTATGATATGATCAAATAAGAAAATTACTACATGATTATATATTGCTAATATTTTTAATTCATAATTATGATATGATCAAAAAATGAAATTATTACATGATTATATTTTTTATTTTTTATTTTATTAAGTTTCAAATTATATAATCAAATATACTTTATTATAAGTGATTTAAATTACGTTTTTTTACAGAAGACAAAGGAATAAAACATAATTATATATAAATCATTTAAGTGAGATAATAAGGGTCTTATTTGGATAAATTTAAATCCAGTCGTTTGTTTCTTTTGAGGGAGTGATTGGTAAGGAAAAATAAATTGGTTAGGGCTACTAAGAGTTGCAATTACCTTATCTACTCTTAAAGGTTTTTGAGAGAAGAAATGAATAGAGACATTACAAAATTATACTTTAATATAATAACAAATCAATAAAAAAAACATGAGCGTTACTTTTGTAAAAAAACTTTAAATAACCTTTTTATCACATAATTTCTTACCATGGGAAACTTCAAGATAGGATATGTTATTATGGTGTAGATTCAATTGTACAAATTTATAATAGCCATGCGTCTTGCCTACGTTATCTTCAGAACAGTGGTGTTATTTCGCCAAGTTGTTGTTAGAGCATTAAAGGGTTAGTTAATGTGGCTAAAACCATTATTGATTGTCATGCAACTTGTAATTTCTCGAAGTCGACTACTGCTGCTATGAAAGCAATCAATATGGACTATGCTGTTGCAGCTAAAACCATTGTTGAATTCCGTACAACTTGTGATTGTTTGAAGTAGGCTATTGTAGCTATCAAAAGAATAAAGGGGACTATGCTGTTGCACTCCCTTAAAAATGAGGAACTAGTATCCTTACAAGATCAGTTCTTCCATCAATTGTGCTAGATATACATGCATTATCTAAATATTAATTCTAAATTAAAAATAATTTAATTCTTATAAAAAGGGAACAACCTACTTTTTTTAAATTCGTATATTAATTTTAAAATGTGCTATTTTTTAAGAGGTTTATATTTTAAAACCTCACAAATAAAGTTTAACGATGGATCCATATTATTCTGGTTTAATTTTATTTTGGTGTATAATTAAAATAAAACATTATATGTTAAATTATCAAAAATATTAATCACTCCTCGTATCCAAATTAATCATGCCACATATTAATTGAAGTAGCAATAGGAGTTTTATACTATTTGAGTAAAAGTTATGATGTATTTATTTGCACAAAGCTAAATTATTTTATATTTAGATTTTTAAAATAAACAAAGTACTTAGATAGAGAAAAACAAATTGTACTAAATTTGATCAATAATATGGAATAGACAAAAAGTGGTTGCATGCATGAGAAAATTATTTACTTTTATATGTGATTTCAAATGAAGACAAATAAAAATATCTATTTATAATGTTTATACATTGAATGTTGTGATGACATTTTAGTATATAAAAAATAATAGTATTTCTTCTTATTATTTTTTTTTTGTAGTATCAAGTGATGTGAAATGTTATGAATGTTGAATCTTAAACAAAAATAATGTATGGTATTGCTATATGCTAGTGTGAAAGAGAATAAAGAAAGAGGATAGTTCTAGCATTTATGATAGAGCAAGTTTTCTCTTATATTTAACACATTTACTATGTTTTTATATATCTATTATATATGTGAGCCTTTGTTTATTCTGTATACTCTAATGTGATGTGTTAAAAATATTAATAAAAAGTTCAACCACATTCATTATTCCATTTCAACTTGCATTGAACTCTATGTACTAAAATATAATTATTATATTATAAAAATTTGTATTAAATAATATAAATGTTTTCATAATAATAGTGATTTAACATAATAATAGAACAATATACTCGGTACCACTTATTTAAAAAGAGCAGTTTCAAAGTGTCTATTTAAAAATTGTCTAGCGGTTCTCCCTTACATCATAACTAATGACTAAACATAAAGCTCATATCCTAAATCAAACATTAACCACAACCAAAATCAAAAACCATAAAAATACTTTTCAAAAATCATTATATAAAACCCCCACCACCTTGCATAAAACT